TCAACCTCAGAGCACACTCGACCAGAGGTATCGCATCTTCGACTGCTTTGCATAATGGTATGACAATGCAGGATATTTACACTGCGGCCACGTGGTCAATACCCCGCTCATTCATTCGCTTTTATCTACGTGATGTGATGCTCATTCCATGACACATTCTGTCCTTAATGTTTACAGAATGAATATTGTTGTTTTCATGGAACTCTGTTTAACTCACATCTGCCTGCATGCATTACAGTGTGAGATCTTGTTATCAATCTCAAGTTGTGATTGTTATTTTGGTTCTATTGTCACTTATCAGTTCACGACTATTGTTACCAATCAGTTAATTTGATTAATAATCAGCTCTCCTGTTATTACTAATCTGTTCATACTGTTCAGCCGTAAACCGGTTGGTTCATGGCTCTTTTTAGCATTTTTCCCTCCCCGTTGAATTTTCCGGGGCGTTCATGCATTCAGAACGCATAGTTACACAACACAGTTACACAACCCCTCCAACGATATCGCTCTTGATTTAAAAGAGCTCGTGATGTTTTTAGGCATAAAAGCTGGGTTGGGTCTTAAATCAGCTGAGCTGCCGTCAGCCTGAATTCTGAGACATGACGGAGCGACAGAGAGGGCAGATAAATCACCCACTCAGCGGATGTTAAAGCCAGCAGCAGGGCTGTTTAAAGAGACAAGAATTTAATTGGAACCTGATCCAGAGGCTCAAATGGAGCTTTGATCAGGACCTGCAGGACCAGTGTTAAATCCCACTGTGGAACAAGTGGGTGTGAAACAGGCCTGCGTCTCTGTACACCTTTTAGAAAACGCTTCATCAGCGGATGATTAAAACCTGTTCTGTCTCCGAACCCTTTGTGGCAGGAAGAGATGGCTGCAGCGTACGTTTTAATCATGCTGGACGCCAAGTTCCTGTCCATCAGCTGTTGTAGAAAGGACAGCATGCCACCTAATGGACATGAGGTGGCCTCTACACCCTTCTATTTACACCAGCGCTGAAAAGCTATCCGCTTTGATGTGTACAGCGCTGTGGTAGATGCAGCACGTGAAAACAGAATTGTGTGCACAACATCCTGTGGGCGACCCATCCTCTCTAAGCGGATCCATTCAGCGGCCAGACCCACAGGTGCTGGCCTATTTCTGGGTAACTCCTGGTCGCTCCTCCTGCCTGGAGGAGAGCGTCCTCCCTCCACGGCAGTTTCCACGGGCGCCCTGACAGCAAGTGTCGCAGGACTGGGAACCATGGTGCACTCAAGCGTTCGGGGGCCACCATGAGAGCTGTCAATCCCTCCTCCTGAACTCGGTTCAGGAACCGTAAAATCAGAGGAGGTGGAGGAAAACGCATACAGAAGCATTTTGGGACATGAGCTGTGGGCAAACGCATCCACCCCCAGCGGTGGTTCGTCTCGCGGGCTCAGAGAAAACCATAATTGACACTCTCTAAAAAAGTTAAATCTGGTCTTCTGGACATTCAAAAAAACAAAACAAAGCAAAACAACAACAAAAATGTAGAAATGTTTCGTCTCTCATCCGAGAGACTTCCTCAGTCTGAGCTGCTGCATTCAGCTCAATCTCTTAAATAGCACCTTCTCAGAGTGGATCAACCAGTTTTGCTGCTGACAACCAAAACAGCTGATCACATGCTCAAGAAGGACCATCAGCCTAACAATGGGTCATTAGCACACTGATGGCTGTTACTATTCACAGAGGGCTGAGTGATACTAGCAATAACAGCATTGTAAGAGGGGGACAATTGAACACGTATGCCTCCACCCCTGTTTACCGATGGACGATTTCTTTTCACAAAGATGGCCTCCTTTACTCCTCTCTCAAACCATCGTTCCTCTCTATCCAGGATGTGCACATCTTCATCCTTGAAAGAGTGACCGCCGGCCTGGAGATGAGTGTAGACCACAGAGTCCTGGCCTGATGATGTTGATCTTCTGTGCTGGGCCATCCTTTTGGCCAGTGGCTGTTTTGTTTCCCCGATGTAAGACTGATCACAGCCCTCCTGACACTGAACAGCATACACAACATTACTCTGTTTGTGCCGGGGGACTGGATCTTTGGGATGAACCAGTCTTTGCCGTAATGTATTTTGGGGTTTAAAAGCCACTGGGACATTATGTTTAGAAAATAAACGTCTCAGTTTCTCTGATACTCCCTCAACATATGGAATGACCACAGGTCTGGGTCTGGGTTCCTCCTTTTCACCTGTTGGCTGACTGGAGTCGTGTTTGGGTTTCTTCTCTGCTTTTAGGAAGGCCCAGTAAGGATATCCACATTGCTCTACAGCCTGTCTTGTGTGGGATTTCTCCTTCTGCCTGGCTCCTGAGCTAGTGGGGACGCTGTCTGCTCTGTGATACAGAGTCCTGATGACTCCTAACTTGTGCTCCAAAGGGTGATGGGAGTCAAACTGCAAAAACTGGTCTGTGTGGGTGGGTTTGCGGTACACCTCAGTTTGCAAATGTCCTCATAATTGACACTGAGCATTCTCTCGTGTCGCAAACAGGCCCACAGCTGCCATTTCAATCAGAGTCAAAATGCTCCGTCAGAGGATGATTAAAGGTTGTTCTGTCTATGACAACTTTGAGACAAGAAGAAAACATGGCTGCAGCATACGATAATCGTGCTGAACGCCAGATTTCTGTCCATCGACTGCTGCAGAAAAGGACAGCTTGTCGTCCAGTGGACATGAAGTGGCCTCTACGCCTTCTCTGTACACCTTTTACAAAACATTTCATCAGCGGATGATTAAAGCTGTTCTGTCTCAAAAATTTTGTGACAGGAAGAGATGGCCGCAGTGAACGTTTTACACGAGCTGAACGCCAGATCTTTGTCCATCAGCTGCTGCAGAAAGGACGGCACACCACCTAGTGAACATGAAATGGCCTCTACACCTTTCTCTGTACAGCAGCGCTGAAAAACTGACCACTTGATGTGAACGGCGCTGTGGTGGTTGCAGCACGTGAATCCTGAATCGTACGCACCACATCTTGAGAGAGATCCATCCTCTCGAAAAGATCCGCACAGCGGCCAGACCACAGGTGCTGGCCTATTCTGATTAACTCCCGATCGCTCCTCCCGCCTGGAGGAGAGCGTCCTCCCTCCACGGCAGGTTCCACGAGCGCCCCGATAACAAGTGTCGTAGGCCTGGGAACCATGATGCGTTCACGCATTTGGGACAGAGGAGCTGTCAGTCCCTCCTCCTGAGCTCGGTTCAGAAAACCGTGATATCAGAGGGAGAGAGGGAGGTGAAGAAGCATTACGACCACAGGCTGTGAGCAGACACGTCCACCCCAGCTATGGATCGTCCCGTGTCTCCACGATAATTATAGTTGGCATTGAGTGTTCTCTCGTGTTGCAACACGTCCACAGCCGCTCGCAGGATTTCTGCCGTGTCTGAGTCATAGCTCTGGGTGGAAGGTCCCCGTGCCGCAAAGGACCGTCTTTGGACATCACATCCGCCCCCTGTTCAGAATACATGAGATTTACCCTACTCCAATAGAGAGCAGATTGGGTGTGCCCCACACAGCATCTGTCTCACAATGTGGCACACGGGTTGAGCGCATACATCTCCTGCCGGTTATGTATGCAACAGTCACTTGCTGTCTGTGTGAATCAAAAACCCTGATGATTCGCAGCTCAAAGGCAAAGTGTTGAATCACATAAAAAAAAAAAACGTGCGACACTCCAAAAACATTTAAATGAGCTGCTGTGTGGAGAACCACAGCGCCCCCACAGTTCGTTAAATGTGTTCCTCTGTGAAGTCTGACATGTGTGACGTAGGTCTGCTGACGGAAACAGCTGATATCACTCAACTGGTTCATGTGAGTTGCACTGCTGCCACCTGTCTGTACAAACTGCTCAGCAGCAGCAGGTGTCCAGATAAAGCAGAATTCTTCTCCCTGCTCTGTGCGGCAGCTGCAGAGCGGCCCGGGCGCATTAATGGAGTGTTGTTTCTCACAGTTCAAAAATTGACAAATCTAGAATAAATCTCATCTTTCCAGTTCGTTGGGACCAGGGAGTGACGGGAGCGGAACCCTGCGTTTTCCTCTCCTTCTGAGACTCTGGAAAATTACATTTAAATCAGAATTTCCTGAGCTTTTGCGAGAGGGGACGAGATCTGTTATAGAAATGACAGAAAACGTTTTTGGAGAAAGATCCATCTCGTTGCTCAACCAGAGAGGTTCATGTGACGTTCCACACCAGGCTGGTCCAACATGCTGGAGAACGCAGCCCACTCCAGCAGGGGGTCAAAACAGAACCTGACCGGCTGAGTGGGCGTGACTCTAACCAATGGAGACAGGTCTCACATCCTCCATCAGAGGTCCTGCCCAGGTACAGCAAGTTTGCAGCTTCTAAAAACATTTGACTTCAACCAAACTAAGAACTCACAACCAAATGCCTGAGCTTTGGAACCAAAGATTCTTGACACGAACAAACAAAAGTTTCTGCTTTGCAAATGAAACTTTTTACTTCAGAAAAAAAAATCTGATTTAAATGGAAACCATTTTGTTAACAATAAATTAAATTAAAAAAATATTTAATAGCCGTTTTAAAACTTTTATTCTTAAATGTTATTTTGATTGAAATCCTAATTAGTTTGATAGACTGACTAAACTATAAATATTTGCAAAAATTATAAAGTAAGTTTTCTTTAACTGTAACTTTGCCATTTTGAGCTGATAAGTACTTTAGCAGCATTTAGGTGGTCTGAATCTGAGAGAAAACATCAGGATTTTTGTTTTAAATGTTTTTTTAATCTTTATTTTTTACAATATGAAACAATATTTTGGCACCACTGGTCTTCCAGACATCACAGGTGTGTCCACAGGTAAGACACACAGACAGAAAATGGTAAATTCCAGTTTTGTCTGCGGAACTGCAACCTACAATTGACTGATTTCAGGATGGCACTAAAGGAGTCCATCAGACATCAACAACAAAAACTGAAATAAACTCTTTAATAAACAAAAAAGTAAAAATAAAACATAAGTTAAGTGAAAAGACAAAGAAATGTTTTTTTTTTTGTAACGCATGTTACAGCCTATAGGTGAAACCCATAGATATTAGTTCAGATTTTAAATGTTTCAAATTTCATTTTTAAAAATCTTTGTTTGGTTTCCACTTCAGATTCATTGATGTTCGGATCTCTAAGGCGATGAGTCGCTCAACACGTTCTCCTCCTGCAGGAAAACCAGTCTGGCGCTGAAGAAAAATTCCTCTATCAGACGTCTGCTGATCACATGACCTTTGTGAGCCTCCTGCTTGTCACTGATTGGCCACAATTGACTCCTCCTCCTGCTCCTCTATTGGCTGGCTGCTGAAGCCACTGTCAACTTTGGCATCTGATTGGACAGAAACAAATGAACAAGATGAGTTGACTGAGTTTGAAGTCACATGGTTAACCTGGATTTTGATTTTCCTCAGGATTTTATGTGTCCCTGAGATAAATTAAAGACCTGTCTGTGGTGTATCCTGCCTCTCGCATAATGACTAAAACTAATATCTGATTGTGTTGTTAGTTTCAGCTAATCTGAATCAGGCCATTAATAAAACTCTGTGAGGACAATCACATCATTTTCTTTAATCGTAAACATTTATTTGAAAAACAGATATAGACGTGATCAGATTACATTGACCGCTAACTAACTATTATTCTAAGTGACTGGACAAAATTAAATGACTGTCCTATTAAATAACTGCTACAACAAAACTCTGACAGGTCTTCATCTGTCGCAGCCAGTGGATCTTGGTGTTTTAGTTGATGGTGTGAAGCTGTTGTAGAGCTCCCTCTGGTAGTAAGGTGGTAAAACTGTGATGTAAAGTTATAGCTTGAAACTATTAGAACTGATCACCTCCGACAAGGCAAATGCTTCATGAAATATGCATAAGTTGGTAACTTTTGGTGGATGTAAAGCCGTGTTGTTTGGTAATCTATGGTGGTTGGTAACCTGTGTTGGTTGGTAATCTGTGGTGGTTGGTAATCTGCGGTGGTTGGTAACTTGTGTTGGTTGGTAACCTGTGTTGTTTGGTAACCTGTGGTGGTTGGTAACCTGTGTTGTTTGGTAATATGTGGTGATTGGCCACCTGCAATGGTTGGTAACTTGTGTTGGTTGGTAATCTGTTGTGGTTGGTAATTTGTGTTGTTTGGTAATCTGTGGTGGTTGGTAACCTGTGTTGGTTGGTAATCTGTGTTGTTTGGTAATCTGTGGTGGTTAGTAACCTGCGTTGGTTGGTAATCTGTGGTGATTGGTAACTTCTGTTG